GTGTTTAATTTGTTTCGAATGCATGCAATGTAAAATGACACTCACTTGGTTCCAGGTAAGCAGGACTTTTGCATAGCATCCACTGTGTACCGCAGGAATTCATGAGCATCTTCCTGGCTTCCATAGCGGAAGTGCTTTGCAATCCCTGTGTGAGGGGAACGAGGAAAAACAGAACCAAAAAACAAAGCAGGAGGTGAATTATTGTAAAGGATACCACAGTTAAATGCAAGTTTACACTTATTTAAAAACAGAATTCAAAATCCCTCCAGATTATTTCCCTCCAAAATTACAAAAGGGAAATAGTCACACAGCGCCTCCTATCATTAAAATATAGGTAAACACTTTGCACAGAGCACAGCATCAACAGTCATCCACTTACTCTTAAGCTCATTGAGTACACCAATGGGCTTAATGACATTCCCAGAGTTGGCAAAAACCTGAATGACGTGGTTTTGCATGGTACACATCATACAGAACCCTGGCTCGTGACCTGCAGCAGCGACAGAGACAAAATACTGAGTGAGTAAGGTGTGATATAATGTGAGAATCAGCGCAGGACTGCGTAACACCACGGTTGGTGAAATAAACTTACATGTTTTGGAGTGCTCCCGCGTCAGCATGTAGTTTGCTAAAGGAGGGGTGTAGGTGAGACACTGCAGGGCTGAGTTGAGGAAGCAGGTGTTCCCCATGTTCTGGAGGCCTGCACCAATGCGGTGAACCTGGACCCACTTTAGGCTGAGCCGATCTGGTGGGAACAGCACCTTCTGGGGCAAGTCAATTCCATCGCCACTGCTCATCACTGGACACACAGAACCACAATTATTACTAAAAATCTGTTTCAATACATTTTAAAAAGGACATAATTTAATGCTACCTTACTTATACAACCACACACTGGCACATGGCAAAGTCATGTCAGGACATTACAGTAATAGCTACAACTATTAACAGTTATATAATGTGATTCTGGCCACTGTGAACAACTCCTAAACAGGCTCAGGAAGAAAGACAGGACAGTTTGCCTTCTCCTTTGTTTCTGCTAAACAAGTTGGGCTGCCGGTCTTTATATAAAAACAGCAATTGCATCACGAGTTGAAGTGACTGATCATGCAAAGCTGGATGCATTACATAACTGGATGAATGAAGGGAGAAGGGAAGCAGCAACACAACACCCACAAAAGCAGTTGTCAAACTTGTGTGAAAGCAGAAGCAAAAAGATTAGCTTTATGTTACTAAAATCAATTCTGACAAATATAATTCTGATAAATAATGGCTAAGAAGTGTGGTTCCATATTTGCTAAAACGGGTTGGAAAACTATTCTGTCGGACAATAAAAATCTTCAAACAGCTTTAAAAAGACATTTTGAAAAAAAGCCAGGCTTTGCTCTGACCTTGGTCCTTGGGCCGGTCCACAGAGGAGGGTGTACTGTTGTACACAGCAGCTCCAGGAGTGGGGGCCAGGCAGCCTACTGGAGCCTTGAGCCTTGGAGAGTCACTGGGTACAGTGGGGCCCACTGCCCAGCTGCTGGAACAACTGCCGTCCATCCCCACGTCTCCACTGGTGAAGGAGGATCGGTTACATCCGGCTGACTCGTGGTCAGACTTTTCTGAAGATCTGTCAACTATGGTCATTGTTCATAGCTGCATTAGGAACAAAGACACATATGTTTATGAACTGAAAACAAAACAAAAAAAACAAAAAACAAAGTCGTTGCTAGGTTTGAATTTTCTCATTGTTATTTTGGAAAAGGGAAAGAAAACTTAAATACTACATAAATCCTACACTGGTTAGGTAGCATTACAGTGAGTTTGGACAACAACAACTAAATACAAAAGCTACATTAACAGATTATACCCAATTTTGCTGTGCAAGAAACTGCACAATGACAATAAAAAGCTCTAAGTCTCCAAGTCTCTTATAGCTTATAGTTAAATAACGCTATATTAAACACTGCCCTCATACCATCGCCTAAACTTTCAGCAAACAAGTATCAGTAATTGTGTTAGATTGGATGATTTGTTTACATTCAAAAACAGACTAGCATAAGTGAGGGCCAAATATTTGATTTTGATCCTTTGTTTTTATTTGAATGCATCTTGTCAGATTCCTTTTAAATAAACACCAGGAGACAAGGGTAACTTTCGACATCTAATTTAACTCTGTCCAACTAACAAACTTAAAATATCGACAAAAATTAGCGTTTAGAAAACTCAAGAGGGGAAATGCCAGATAACCGACTCGACCGAGGAAATTTCCAAGTCGGAAGCACGTTTACAACAGAAGCAGCTGTTCCCTCCCACCTGCTCTTACAGAGTGGCTCACACTGGCTAAATGACGGCTGCTAGGCCTTTAACACGCAGCGTCGCAAAACCTCAAGAAAACACACAAAAAACCCTGATCATATCAGACGGAGAGCAAATTGAAAGCTTACCAGTCTTGTCGAATTCCGAGGTGGAATGACGCGCACTTACAGAAGATGCAAAAACCATCGAAACGCCGAACGCAACGTAGCTATCGAACTGTGCTAGCATTTTGTGCGGCTAGCTAGCTTGCCTACTTGCTAGCTAGCACAAGACTATGGACGCCGGCTGACATGGCGCAGAGAAGCGTAGTTACGGACCAGCAAGCTGACGAGTAGTTTCCTGGCTGTGCGGTGACATTTATTTTATTTAAAAATGTGTGTGGCCTGGGCAACGGGGCGTCTAGCTAGAGGAGAAAGGAGGGGCTCGACGCCGGCGCTTGTGTATGATCACTGCGCTGCTCTCTCCGACACGACATAGAGAACCGGTGTAAGCTTACTACAACAAATCTCAGCGGCTCACGCCTACCAAAATATTACGGGCGCACAGTTAAAGTGGCACTTGATCGTAAAGGCAATACAACACTCACCTGTAACCTGTTATGATCGCGTTAGTAGAGGTTGTAAATCCATTCCTTATTTCTAGCGGGTGTCCGGCGGTGAACAATGACGTAGCTAATTGCCCCACGGGTACATCCGGGTACCTGGGATGAAACAAGGCCTCTGATAGGTTCCTAAAATCGTCAAACGTTCCTAGTGAATATCCGGCGCATGTACATACCTCTAACCTTTGTGTACATGGTGTACCACCCCACAGTATGAGCTCTATAGCTATATCGTAATTATAGAAGTGGTCCAGATTTAATTATTTTACTAAAACTATGTAGAAATGCTATTTTCCCCATATTATTGGGTGCTCCCAGCATTTTAATGTTTGAAAGCTATTGAAACATAACAGAGCGCACCCCCTGTATCTCATTTTAAACAAATCTCAAACATATATGCAGGAAATATAGAAACCCCTCATCATGTAAATAAAATAAGTGCCTATGTTTTCAGAAAAAAGAAAGAATGACAGGACTTATTGTGTCAAACAGTAAAGACTGCACCTTGAACTCTCAGGATGAACTATTCTGCTGCTCAGTTCTGCTTAAACATCCACTTGTCAAACTCATAATATAAATCATAGATTTTAAAGAAATACCTCAAATGATTTTAAGTGACACGGTGCTTTGCAGAAACTCTGCTGAATATATTAGAAATAATTTTTATTAAACTGCTGAATGAAGAAAAGTATTTGCAATCCAGATGCATGAGACACACTTAAATATTCAAACATACAAACACACTAACTTGCACTAAGCTAGCAACTTTTTTTTCTTCTTCAAAGGCTCAGGTGTTTTCCAGCTCGGGGAAATTAACTGTGAGTTGTGAAGTCTGGAGCTGAGTGATCCGTCTCCTCAGCTGCATGATCTCTTCTTCCTGCTCTTCAACCCTCCTCTGCAAACCGTGGATCACCTGAGGGGGAGGAATATTCTTAAAACTGGATTGGAATTATTATGAAAACAAAAACCTCAACAACTTCAAACAGTAAAACAATCCACTCTTTACATGAGTAACTTTTATTTACTTTGTTTCCTTCAGTAAAGAAAGAAATAGTCTTTTAATTACACCATACCTTGTCTTTACTGCAGAAGAGTTCACTCTGTAGAAGCTGGCTAGCTGTGGGACGAACACTGGGTTCTTTATCTGTGAGCTTCATGATGTATTTTGTCAGAACTGGCCATCTGTGGCAGAACGAGTCAGGGATTTTCCCTTCCCTCAGGTCCCCAAGCGTCCGGACCCGCTCCATTTCGGTACCAAAAGGCTGGAATAGCTCAAGAGCCAGCACTCCGATGCTGTACATGTCAGACTGAGTGAGCAGCAAATGAAGATTCATGTTCAGCACAGTTGTTAAAAGACAACAGAAAAAAATAATTAATTCTAATAAAATGTTACCATTTCTAATCATAAACTGCTAACACTTCAGAATGATTTTTACATGAAAAGAAAACATGAATTATTAATAAGTAAGGTGGTCCATTACCTTTGAATTATAATTGGAGCCCTTCAGTTGTTCAGGTGCAGCATACACAAATGTGCCAACACCTGAAGTATGACTGCAATCTTGAAAACACCAGCAATGTCATTAAATAGCAAACGCTGCCATCTACTGGTGGTTCTGAAACATGCCGTGTTATGTGGGTAAACTCTTACCGCTGTAAGGAGAAGTGTTGCTTTTGAGGCCATCCGCTATGATGTCCCTGCAGGCCAAACCAAAGTCCCCAATCCGAACATGACAATCATGGCCGTGAAGAAAAATGTTCCTTGGCTGTGGGGAGAAAAAAAAAGGTTATAATTAAGTTCCATATGTCACTAAGGACACAGATTCTTTTATGTAAAATCGGCAATACAATAAAGACAAAAACTAAACATTCTTATGATTTGAGAGAATCTAACTTTACATAAAATGTGCAATATTTTTTCTTAAATTTTTTTCCACATAAAGGCTCTGATGGGAAAATACATTGAATAATAAATCCAGTCTGTCCCAGTGAACAAAAAGAATATATAAATAAGCAATTAAATGCAATAGAAAGCATATTTTTAATAATGGGACTATTTATACTGTATTTTGTTTTTTCCATTACTTTTCAATTGTATTCATTTTTTATTTACATTATTTGTAGTGACTTCACCTACATTTTCTCCCCATTTATTTCCCTGAACTTACTGATTTTTGAGATTGCTAGACAACTGGGCCACTTGCTCAGTCTAGCTAAAGATAACTTAAAATGGAAAAATAAAATGAGAAAGTAAAAATACACGGTCAATTGTTTTTCAATTTCATCCCCCCACCGTCATCAAGATTTAACTTTAAGTACAGGTAAATAAAAGGTAACTATGTGATGCAAACACAGTTAGTTGCAGGAACGGATGCAGAAAGCCCCCAAAATTGGCCCCGAGTGCAGCAACAAGTTATCAGTTCAGACAGGAAGGCTGCACATCAAAGTTAGAAAAACACCAGCCACAGAAAACAGAAGTAGCTTTCGACTTCCCTTCCGCAAAGTATTGCTTCCTGATGTCTTTCTATGAAAAACATCAGTGAATTTCCAGCACCTGACCATGCTGGAGGAGCACAAGGAGTGTTTGGATAAGAGAGGTAGCATTAGCAAAATTCACAGCAATGAATATTACACAGCGGTCATGGAAGAGGACTCGCAACGCATTGAAGACTTGATTGAGAAACATGGGAGCAATTTCCTCATTGAGCCACAAGGCAAAGTATATAAAGAAGCCTTCTGCAAGGTAAATGCAACATTGCTACCATCTTATAAAATACTCTGCAAGGATCTTTATATGCTTGCAAGCAAGTCTCACTTCACAGAAATAAAGAAAGAAAACAACTTTGATAGCAAATAAATGTCAACTGTTTATAGGCAAACAAGAAACTTAAATTTATGATTATTCCATTTCTTCTTCACTCGTTTTTCCCGGTAGGGCTTTGCTATTCTTCCCCTTCACCTGGCTGCCTCTTACAGAAAAATCCAAAGCATGCAGAGTCTTCTGTCTGCAGGAGCAGACACTGAATTGAGGTATGGATGTAAGCACTAAAACCTGACATCTAACTCAGGTAGAATCACCTAATACTTCCTGAAGCATTTGATCATCATACAATTATTTTATAGGGGGTTGAGAACAAGAAAAATAATGTACTTTCTGTTAAAAGTCTTCTGTTCTCAATGTCTTCACCTTTACCTCTGTCACAGAGATATGCTTGGTCGAACCCCGCTGCACTTGGTGATAATTGGTTGGCCAAGCATCCTGAATACATCCCAAAAACCAGATTCCAAGTTCCAGACTAAAGTGATCGGTGTGTGTACAAAGGCAGAGGCCTGTTTAAGGCTCCTCTGTGACCATGGTGGAAACATCAATGCTAAGGTGAATTTTCCATGTAGGCAAATAGATGTCTAGCTGCTTCTTACAATCTCCTAACTTTGATGTTCAACATGCAAAAGGGCTACCAACAACGTCAAAGTCAGCATACTGTAATAAGTCTGTGGAAGTAAATTCTGCTTTAAGCTAAATACTGGTTAAATTGTGGTTCATCTGTAGGTGGAGAGAAAAGGCCACCAGACAGCTCTTCACATATCAGTACGCTACAGAGCACTATCTGCTGTCCAAATACTGGCGTGCTATGGTGCTGATGTTAATGCTGTGGATGTCAGTGGGATGGCACCTCTGCATATGGCTGCTGGGATACTGCATAAGAATATTATTGCCAGTCTGCTCAGGCATGGCGCAAATGTTAACATGGTTTGTATTGTTTGAGAATTTGATATTCAGTATTATGTTTGTTTATTTTTTTTATCAACTGTGCTTTATGGATAATAAGACATAGGAAAAGTGAGTTATAACTGTCAACACCAACTTATCATTAATTAAATATTTACTTACAATCTTAATTACATACTCACTCAATTATATATGCTGTGGTTATAAAAAGCCCCCCCCCCCAATCCAAAAGCATGGATCAAGTTTGTAAAGATTCACAATGGCAGCATGTGATTCAGTTTTCCTTTAACCTTTCTGCTCTCAACACTGTTGAAATATCTTGTGTCCTTCAACAAGTCTGTATTATTCTTTTTAATAGGGAGTGCAGCACACTGGGAACACCCCTCTACACCTCGCTGCTGTGGCAATGGCTACAAAGACCACTAAAACCCCAGAAGACGCCATTAGCAGCATCACTGAGCTGCTCAAACAAGGCGCGGAGCCCAATGCAGTGAACAAGGCTGGCATGACACCTTTACACGAGGCATGTAGCATGGGAAACGAGGAGCTCGTAGACCTGCTGCTGAGCTACGGAGCTAGCATCTATAAACTAAGCGAAGCAGGGGAGAACTGTCTGTACCTTTTCCTGAAAAACATGCCTAATGTGAGAAATGTTTCTCTGCTAGTGAAGCTCCTCAGCCTGACCTCACCGCTTACTGTCTACAACCAAAAAGGCCACCTGCCCTTAACCTTGACAAAACCATGTTTCTTTAAACAGAGAGACTACCTCATGAACCTAACTCGACAGCCAAGGAGACTTCAGGATATTTGTAAGAGTGACATTTATCTAACACACGTCAGAGGCAAGAGAGAAGAAATAAGGAAAATCCTTCCTGACAAGCTGTACGAATTTATCTTCAACCATTGGGAGAATGTACACATCTCCTTTGTGACAGACAGTGAACAGGAATATGGTAAATAATAATTTCATATTACTCCAACCTGACACCACTTCAAACTCCACCTGACTTTAAACATTTGCATCAAACCGCTGACTAACCTTAAAATAACAGAGGTGTGGATGAAAGAAAGAAAAGAAAAATCACACCTTCAGGTCCCTGTGCATGATTCCATTGGAGTGAATGTACTCCACACCTTCAAGTATGTGTCTTAGCAGTCTGAGCGTGTGTTCAGTATCAACACAGGCATAAGGACCTGAAAACAGAAAATACATCTATTTATTCCCCTCCCCCAAAAAGATTTTCTATCTCAGAATACCCCTAAAAATATTATCTGCATATATTAGAAGCAACATGAAGCTCTGGGCTGTAAGTAATCTGAAATAAACATGAATGTATAACTGAGCAATTACATCTTGTGATTTGTTCCTCTTTGGGCTTGGCGTTCCTCTCAGAGATCCAGTCTTTTAGGGAGCGCTCACATAGTTGCATCTGGATATAAAGCATCAGGTGGAAGTGCACCTGCAGATATGCCATAACAGAAAAGTTAAATCCTCTGCTTTTCTTTTTTTGCAACACAGAAAAAAAAATCCCATTGCTCATTTCCACCTTCATGCTTATTATGTATTATAATTTATGGGCTTTACTAGCATTGCTTTGCAAGCCTATATAAAATTATCTTAAACTAGGTGTACCCTTTCAGTTTATTCTCTGATTGAAATGCACTGAGTTCGAGAGCAGTGTGCTGGAGATGATCATATTACTGATATTCAATCTCACTGACATCCGTGTGAAAACTGTAAAAAATTATAAAAATAAAATGATTATAAATATTATAATTTAGATCAGTCTGAAGCCTGAACTTATGACTTCTACATACATTTACCTCAGTATCTGAAATTAGTTTAATTAGCTTTTTTAAATGCAAGAAAGTTTGGGTTTTTTGTTTTTTTTAATCACCTACCTCTTTAGAAGGCCTCATTGGATGCTTCTCAGTCCACTGATGACACTCCTTGTCAATGCAGGAGTTGTTGTTTAGTTCCATGCTACTCCTACTGGACTCCTCATCCAAAACTGCTGAAGCATCCCAACCCATGGCAGGACATTTGGGGGCCTTAATGGGACCTTGCTGTCCCAGAAAAACGCAAGGGACATAGTTCTCTGGGATGCGACGCATCGTCTTGGGACACACCACCTGTCCCTCCTGGGTGGAAACTACGGCTTTTATAGGCTGCGCGTCTCTCTGAGGTACTTTGGCACTTGAAGCAGTCTCTGCGGGTGTTTGACTGTGGCTCTGAAAAACTATAGAGGAACTGCTGCTATTCTTCTCCCCACTTTCATCAAGGCTGTAAATGAAAGAGTCGAGATAGACTTAGTGCAAGTTCACAAACTAATTACTAGTGCTGCCTGTACATGCCTCGAGATATCTAGTCATTCACTAGTCACACAGACTTCATTGCCAAGACCTGCAATAAATAGCCCACCTTTAATGGTATTTCTACACATAATCAAGAATAATGTTACTTGTGCTCTGAATTGAAGTCGGCAATTCATCTAAAGTGTTCCACTTCAAGGTAATTTTACAAAATCAGGAGAAAATTATTAGTTTTGTCAAAATTTTCCCAAATGCTTTTAAACACAACAAGTAATGGCAGAAACCTAGTACATAAAGAAATCAACATTTTCTAGGATAAACAAACATAATGTATGTGTTACCAAGAAAACTATTTCTACGTTTGCAAAAATCCAGATTTCTTTCAGAAAAAAAAAAAGAAGAAAACAACATTATCAGGCTCCTGAAAAACTGACTTTTTTATTGAGCCATAGTACAAACCATTGCTGTGCAATGATGTAACTCTGTAATACTCAAAGCTTGTAAAATCAAGTTAAATCTAAGGGTTTTAGCTGTCACATGAGAAAGCATTATGCCAAAGACAAATAAAATCAGTTTAGACTTGAGAAAAGAATTGTTGATGCTTACCAAGAAGGAGATGGGATATACAAAATTATCACAGCATTTTCAAGCATCAAGAACTGGAGTGAAAAGCATCACCAAGAAATATAAAGAGAGTCACACAGTAAAGAACGAGCCTGGTAGAGGTAGAAAGTGAAAGATCTCAAAGACTGTGGAAAGAAAACTAGAAGGAGACATGTCTAAAGACCCCAAAACAACTGCCAAGACACCAATGAATGACTTAGCCACGTCGGGAATTGTAGACTTCAAGAAGTAATCCAATAGAGCCATACACAGGAATGGACTGTGAGGTTGCAGCCCAAGAAAAACTCAACTTCTGCATTAGAGACACCTTCAAGTCAGACTGAAGTATGCTAAGGACAACCTCAGAGATGCTGATTAGGTTTCAAGAAAGAAGGGAGAGGCACACATTATAAAGAACACAATCCCCACAGAGAGAGACACCGTGGTGGGACAATTTCTCTGTTTAACAACACTTGTGAAATAATGAAAAAAATGACATTTTCCCAGGGAGTTTAATAATGCTGTTCATAATTCGTATAGCTTATACTTGTAAAACATTTACATAGGCCACAAATGGAGTTATTTACTGGCACACAAAACAATGCTACTGAACTGCCTCAAATATCTGGTTTGTAATCCAGTCTTTTCTTCTGTTACCTAAGCTACTTTGCAACACATTGGCAAGATGCCTACTTGGTAGCTACTTTAAGCACCTGAGTCAACTAAATCCAGATGGCAACATTCCAACAACAGGAGGAAAGTGTGACAGTAATATGGTTAACATTATGTTTGCTTCTCTCCCATATGCCTTTGTTCACACTAACTAAATTTTAGTCAAGCAATATTCCCAATAAATCTGTTCTCATTTATACAGGAAGATTTTTCTGTTTCTGTTCAGACAACATAACAAAAATGAAACAGTCCAACAAACTCGGCTCGCTGAGACAAATTTAAACCAGAAGCCATGTTTCAAATCATGTGCCAATTTGCTGCTCATAACTAAAACCCTTAATATAACAGCAATGTGGTCTGAAAAAATAACTTAATATAATCAGCTAAAGATTACATAAGTGCTGTTTTTTTGTTTTGTTAGGTTTTTTAAAAATTGTATAAAAACTGCACAGAGAGGACATTAGAAGCAAGAGGAAACCTTTCTGCTTATTTTAAATTGTTGTCTTTAGTGGCATCTAATTTAGCACACCCACCTGTGGCATTTGTGTCTCCTCCCAGGATAAAACCAGGAATCCTTTGTTGTTAGGAAAACGTTAAACCGTTATACTGTGGAAATATCGTGCCAACTGACCAGTCGGAACACATTAGGGATTCAGGAAGGGAGCAAACAAACAGCATTGCACACATAAGGTGAGAAGTAATGCTGTATCTGTGTACCATCTGAAGATTAACGCCTGCAAATCTATTCTAGCACACCCTCAAAACGAAAATTTGAGCCCATAAATGAGAATAATAGTAACACTGTAATTATCAACAACCTAATAAATCACAAAACGGATAATAATCACACTGCCTACCTGTCCTGTTGTCCAGCAGATTCTAGTGCAGGCAAGTTTGACTCAGGATCTGCAACAAAGACAGTTTACACACAAAGTCTCCATCAGCGGTCCCATCATGCATTTCTTCCAAGCAAACATGTGCAGGACAGAGTTGAAATACTCACATGCTGCAGGCTGGACATGTTCCATCCACGCGGTGTGATAGCCCACAACATTTACATGCTGCAAGCTGGACAACATTTTGACCTCCCTAAGGACCTACAGCAAGCAAAACAAGTTAAAGCGGGTACTTCATATCTCTGTATTTAAGTTACATAAGTGTTCTAATGAGAACAACTCAGAAGGCTTACCTTCATACAGTCTTCCTTTGAAACTTTTTTGATGAGAATTTTCTTCATCGCATAATACTGTCCATCCAATTTGTTCATAACCTATCAACGATAACACAATGATTTAACTCAAATCCAGTTTTAGAATAGAATAGACCTTTCTTGTCATTGTACATGTACAATAAAATTGTGAGGAAAAATGAAAAGTTTAGAAGAGTTTCTTAAAGAATGTCGCAAAAATTACATATACCTTAAATACGTTTCCGTATGATCCTTTCCCAAGTCTACAGATTTCTTCGAACTCACTGAGATACCGTGATGTCTGCGCTTGAAACAGTCCCTCCTTAGGTCTGCTTAAGGCACAAACAGGCTTCCTTAAAAATGTACTGAAATATGCTTTTGAACACATGCATCAGAAAAAAATCCAAATACAATTTACCTTAGAGAAGGATTGTGTGCGTTTGTTCCGAGGCCCTGCAAACCAAGACGAGGATGATCACAATGATCACTCTTTGACACGGCAGGCGGCAAAGAAGGTTTATCAAAGTACAGAATTTGCTCAAATATGTTGATTAAAACTAACATACTGACTCCAAGCACGCAGTGTAGGTGCTGGCAACAGATCCACTTACCTGAGGGTAGAGTGAGGAGCTGGCAGCATTAAGCAGCTCAGTGAAGGCCCGGTTATGCTGGAGTCTGACGGTGCTGAATTCATCACTTATTGCCAGAGGTGAAAGAAGATTCATGGCAGCTAAACGCTGACCTATGACTGTGAGAGGAGCAATAAAATACTTAAACCTATGCGACACATGAACCAAATACTAAACATGAACTGTATTTGGATTTCTCTTCTAACTAAATGTCAATTCTTAGTATAGGATCTCGATGGCTACCTTTAAACAGCATGCGTGAGCGAGCTGGATTGCTCTCGTAAACAAAGCACAGGTGCTCGAGCAAAGACCCGAGGAGAAGGTGGTTGGGGATGGCTGAGGCAAACTCTTGGATTGACGGGTAATGCCTACCAGCCATCAACACCTCACGGTTATCGTCTGTGTCTGAAGCTAAACATAGGACAAAAAAAAAGAAAGAAAAACACTGAAAATGAGATCAAAAAAGCACTTGAGAAAGCAGCTGACTGTTCTGTCAAGTTCACAGAGTAGATTTCTGACACAGCTGTCTTACCTTCTTCAATAACTTTTGCTATCATTTCTACAATGTTTCTTTCTCCTATATCCATTCTTCTGTGTGAAAACCCTTTCGGTGCAATATTAAGGCCTCAGAGCTACACTAATGATTCAACTTCAAGAAAAAATTTGCTCATCTTGTTTATGCATAAGGGGGTGTGCACAACAGTAACGCTTATCTGCCATATCCAGTGGACACAGGCCCCGCTCCACCTATCGCACAAAATGACTGAGCTTAGGAGAAGATGTGCATGTAGGGGTCTTTGCATGGTCTCCGTCGTCACTCTCATTTTATAATATTGCAGAATTCGTAAACAGGGAGGGCCTGACTTGTGAAGCAAACATTAACCAGGTGTATTTTACATCCTGTTTATGTAAAGGAGGAAGGTCAGGGTAGACCTGCCTCTTTGTGACTCACTTTATTTGAAGGCTCTAAGGAGTAAATTCACATGTAAAGACTATTATTTCTCTCTGTGACACTAAGAACTAAAGGGATAGGCCATGCATAAATAGGTATGGTTGATTTAATTCAGTCATGCATTTCAGCTGCACAAACCTCAAAACCCAAAACATAAATGAGACCTCAAATATACAAATATATATACGAGTGTATTTCAAAGGGTTTGGAGCCTTTCTGGTGGGGGGATAAGCACCCCTAATTTTCATCACCAAATTCTCTAAATAGCATCACAAACCTTAGCTGATGTAGGCTAGAGCGCTAAAGATTATTAGCTTTCCATAAGTCTACTGCCATATCGCTTTATGCCAGCCAAGGAGCCGGTGTAGTTTATTTTATTCCCATTCTGCTCAAATTGGGCTTCATTATTTGTTTACAGCACTCCAGAGCAAGCCAGAAGGATGTTAGCTATCAACGGGCAGTGGAAGCCTATATTCAATTAGAATACTATCATAAAATGATGTAAATCCCGCTTTTATTGTTGTTGTACATTCTGTTTCACTGTCACATTTACATTTTGGTGACAGCACAAAGCCTGAGAAAGGAGGATAGAGAGGGTGAGAAGGAGAGAGTGCAGGATGAAGACAGCAAAAGTAGAGAAAGCTTACATGCAGTCAAAATCAACAAAAGATATAAAGCTAAGGTAGCTTCTTCTTTTGGCCACATTCACTAAAGTTTATTTCAAATCCTAAATCTAATACAATCACTGAGGTAAATTGTAGCATTTAACAGAATTAATTTCACTCTAAACATGCCTTAAACAGGACAGCTGCCACTATACTTAAGTATAAGTGGAACTGGGTACCAGCTATCCACAATAAAGGGAGCGTTTGTATTGTTTTTTTTTAATGTCTGTACTAATTCATGCTACTTTGATTGCTTCAAGTAAAAGGAAACTCAAACAATGGATACTACAATACGTCATCCAACTAATGAGCTTGCTTTTTAAGTTAACATTTTAATGCATACCCAGCTCAAATGGGTTTTGCAAAGGTGAAAAGATTGAATATGCTTGCAAGCACCATATTCAATTAATTGGAGGGTACTGTGCACGATATCACGACTGGAGGCTGAGGCTCCCAAAAGGTTTGATTCTAGAAAAGCCCCTGAATGGGAAGACTAAAGCTGATCCTTAAAATTGTTCATGCAGTTAAAATAAACGCTCTCAGAGGATGGCTTGTCACACGGACTCTAACTTCTTAGCTACGCCCCTGCTATATTACATAAGTAAAAATGCAGGTGTGGACTTTCGACAACTCCAAAACTCACATTTCACTCAATCAATGTGGACAACCGTCACGGACGTTTGGTTGACACCGGTGTAAACAAAACCTTTGAGTTTAGCAGTTGTAAAACACAGCAACGAAAATCTGCTTACTGTCAAACTGGACTTCGTCGTCCTCTTCAGTCGCCAAGTTTAGCAGGCTAACGATACTGTCTGCCTCCTGCCTCCGGCTGAATTTAGGGTTATACCGAAGCAAAAGGCCGCTGCTGCCAGAACATTCCTCCGACTGCGCGAGTCCGTTGTCGGACGGTGAGCTGTACATTTTAGTATGGGAAATAACGATGACATGACAAAATAAAACGCTTAATTCACCACGCTGCCCGATAAAAAATAAAAATAAAAAAGCTGTCCCATGTCTGCAATGAGATGAGTCAAACTCTACGTTAAATCCCAGTTTGTGAAAATGTACAACGGCAGAAAAGTCCGAAAAGCTGTATGAAAAATGCCATAAGGTTCACCATGTTAATGGATAGCCATGTTTTGCGTTCCCCAGCCTTACAGGGACCATCTGACAATATGCGTATTAAGCCAAAAGGTTAACTTATTTATTCTATTTAATCTATGTTTTTGTAAAATAAAATAAAAAATTAAAGTAAAATTAACATAAGCGCATTTGAAAAATATGAAACTAAAAAGTCAAGACACTGAGGTTGTCCCTGTAGTTAAAAAGTCGTCTTTTCGTTTTTAAAAACTGGATAATTGCACATTCACCCTGACACGTCACGGAGTCGATTTGGTGATGAAATAATATTAAGCTTTAGGCAACAGCTTTGAAAATACTTGCTCTAACAGTGCCATTTATTTTACTTTTTCGCTACTATTGTATTTATTTTTGAGGCTGTGTTCTTACACACTCATTATATTACTGTTTTGCTGCTTTTAATAGGAAGCTGCGCTGTTCCGCGCACACGTGACGCTCGCGAGCAATCTGCGCAGTTCGCGCGGGACTTGCTTTAGGTTTGTGTTTACAGCATGGTGTCGGGTAGTGGATGTACTGGCAAGCAGTGGCAATGATACTATTTGACAGAAGGGACGGCAGGGACTAACTATTCAGTGTTTTACAGAAAAAACTAATTTAAACTCTCACGTCACTCCACTCTTAGAGGATGTCTGATGCATGGTAAGCTAGCGAGAGCATTTGTTCATATGGATATGTTTGTGTTTTTTAAACTTTTGTTACCTTGTACACTGGAATTCAACATTGCTTTTCTTTGCTGCAGCTCTGAACCTGCCGGGGCCATCAGAGCTATTGATAAGCACTCGGTGCATCAGATTTGCTCAGGACAGGTGGTGCTGACTTTGGCCACTGCTGTCAAAGAGTTGGTGGAGAATAGCATTGATGCAGGAGCCACCAACATTGGTAATTAAATATTTACTCAAAGTATTTTTCGACAGAGTCCCCTGTTTGCTTAATAATACTGTTTTGCATTGTTAGATATAGTTTAATGTATCACATGTTTGCATGCTGCAGATGTCAAGCTGAAGGAGAGTGGAGCTGAACAAGTGGAGGTGGCAGACAATGGCAAAGGTGTTGAGGAGGCCAACTTTGAAGGACTGAGTAAGTGTCACCTTTTGTATCTGTGTAATTAGACAATATCTGCCTGTGCTTGTTTGTTAAGAATAAATCATCTGTGTGTTCCACAGCACTGAAGCACCACACATCAAAGCTGAGGGATTTCTCTGACCTCATCCACGTGGAAACATTTGGGTTCAGAGGTGAAGCCCTGAGCTCTTTATGTGCTCTGAGGTAAAGTATTTCAAGTTCTGCGGTAATTTTAGATATAAAACTAAATTATTTGCCAGCTACAATTTGCTCTTGCTCCTTATCGTAGTGACTTAAGTGTCATTACCTGCCACGAGTCCAGCCAGGTGGGGACAAAGTTGGTTTTTGACCACAAAGGCCACCTAGTGCAGAAGACCCCTCATCCTCGGCAACAGGGCACCACGGTCAGCCTGCAGCAGCTCTTTTCCACCCTGCCTGTTCGACACAAGGAGTTTCAACGCAATATTAAGAAGGTCGGGCATTCAGTCATCTCTTTCATTGTCTTTCTTCACATACTGAGTTTTCCAAAAGTGGGGTTCAGGTGCCCCCTCTGTGAATCGCCACCTTATCGCGGTGGAGGGGTTTGTGCGTTCCGGTGATCCCAGGAGTTATGTTGTCAGGGGCAGTTTGTCCCTGGTAGGGTCTCCCAAGGCAAATTGGTCCTGGGTGAGGAGCCAGACAAAGAGCGATTCTAACAACCCCTATGAAGTCCAAAAAAAATCAAGGGTTAAAAACTCAGGGTTACCAGGGTTCCACCCGTGAGCCAGTCCCAGTGTTGTGAGCGGTGATCAGGGACAAGGTCCTGGTGTGTTGATCCGTGGCTTTCAAAACTAGCTTGTGGTACGTGGTATGTTACATCTCTCAGAGATGGGCTGGTTCGCCTCAACATACAACTCGGACTCCAGAGCCAGTTTCCTGGGCTTTGTTCTACTCTGGAGTTGTCCTAGATGAGAGGCGGCGGCAGGAATGGGTATTTTCTATGCCAAGTTTAACTTTAAAGTAACAAATTAGATCAACAATGTCAACAGACCTTAATAACGGCTATTATCTTGTTCTGTGTTTTTAGGAGTATGCCAAAATGATACATGTGCTGCAGTCCTACTGTATCATTTCTACAGGAGTGCGCATTACCTGCTCCAACCAAAATGGGCAGGGAAAGCGCAGCACAGTCCTCAGCACTAGTGGCAGCCAAAGTATGAGAGACAACATTGGAGCCATATTTGGACCAAAGCAGGTTAATATGCTGTTGCTAATAACAACAAAGCCACTGGCCTGATACTTCATAAAAGAGGCTCGTCAAAAAGCAGTTCATGTGCTTGCTAAATGTTTTATTTCATATTTATTTTTTTTCTGTGATTATGTGCTGGCTGTACATCTTGCAGCTGCAGAGTCTTCTACCTTTCCAGCAAGTTTCTCCCACTGAAAATGTTGTTGAAGAATATGGACTCAAGGATGCAGATCTACCCAAACAGCTTTTCTCGTGAGTGTTTTATAGGAAGACCTTTTTGCACAATTCTTGTTATTATTTTCTTTTTTATAATTATTATTATTTTGTTTGTTTTTGACAGGATCACAGGTTTTGTGTCTCAAGGTGACCACGGTGTTGGGAGAAGCACCACAGACAGGCAGTTCTTTTTCATTAACAATCGGCCTTGTGACCCCCTGAAGGTAATTCCTGCTGAGTGGCTTTATGAGGAGGTGTCAGAATTCATCATTCCTGCCTGACCTCTGGTTATTCCCACCCTGCAGGTGACCAAACTCGTAAACGAAGTGTATCACATGTACAACAGACATCAGTATCCATTTGTTGCCTTGAACGTAGCTGTCGCTTCAGGTGAGAAAATGGGGATTAATCAAGCTGATGTAATTTATGGAAACCGCTTGATTTCCCTGAGTGCATGTGCGTTGTGTTTTCAGAGTGTGTGGATGTGAATGTAACCCCGGACAAGCGACAGATTTTCCTTCAGGAGGAGAAACTCCTGTTGGCTATTCTGAAGACCTCTCTCATCGCCATGTATGAGGGTGGAGTCAATAAGATAAGCCTGAACTATACACCTGCACCCAGCACCAGTAAGAATACACCTTCACATGTAGACCCTCATATCTTTACATTAATAATACGGTAAAATAGCAACACTGAGAGGTTTTTAGGAATATTTGTCCTTGCGCTCACTGGTTAGTAATGTAAGGGAAGGAGGAAATAACGCCATGGTTATGAGTTAATTAAGTGTGGGAGCATGAAAGCTACATAGTATTTATCTTCTAATAATGCATGGCCACGTGTAGAATCTTTTCACAAAATCTGTTTACTTTATGGGAGAAGTCCATAAAGTATTACAAAGTATTATCAAATGAAGCATGGATTCATATATTATTTTCAGTTTTTTATTTTATAAGTATTATTTACAGTTACTTCATGTGATATCATAGGCATATGGTCCATATGCCAGGTTTAATCAAATCAGCACATTTTGTGTTCAGTATTTAATTATCCCTTTTCCAATGAATGGTATTTTTATTAGCTGTTCTTAAAAGTTTCATTTTGTTTCTGTGCTTCTTCATAGATGCAACATCAACATCTGAACCTTGCCGAACTGTCTTGTCTAACGAGAACAAGGCAGAACGTGAGGAGGACACAGAATCTATTATTCTGAGCCCAAAGTCATCCCTGAATCTGGCCGGCCTAAAAGCTGCTTTTTCAAGTCATTACAGTTCCAGTTCTGGGAAGTCGAGTAAGGAAAAAGCTTCCGGCAGTGGCACAACACAGAAAACACTGCAGTCTTTTTTTAAGGATCCTGTAAAAACTTCTTCCTGCAACTCAAGTTTAAAATCTCCATTAAAATACACAAGACAGCTGGATAAATGCTCGTCGGCAGGGAAGTCGGTGCTAGATGGGTTTAGGTACCGAATGATGTCCTGCGAGGACACTGATTCTCAAAAAGACAGTGCTGGGTCCAGTTGTAACACAGCTGAAGCAAAACCCGATATTCAGTTTTCTGACCTGGAGTCCAGTCCTCCAAAAGTGGACAGAACGAGTGTTAATAATGAAACTTTTAAAGAGACATCAGGCAACAGTCACACTGTTCCCGAAGATCCAGAGTTAGAGACTGAAGCATGCACTCCTTATGAGGACTCTGCTGTCAGCCCAGAGGCCAAGAGGGCCAGGAAAGACGATCCACATTTTCCTTCAGAAGAAGAATCCAGCACTTTTTCAAACGCTGGTGAGAAACCTCCCTTGACAGTGGATGCTCCAGTCTGCCTGCAGAGGAGGACTGTGCATCTTCAGTTCTCTTTAGCAGAGCTTGCAAAGAAGACGAGGAAGTTACAGGACCAGCAGAAACAAAGGGCTGGGGAAGAGTTGCTGTACAGACGCTTCAGAGCCAAGATCAATCCAGGAGAAAACCAGAGTGCAGAAGAAGAGCTCAAGAAGGAGATCAGGTAGATTTTAGAGGTATGGACTTAACTGTCGATGTGTAATTTTCAAACAAATAATTAAAAGAAAAATGTTTTTAATCCCTTCAGTAAAGAAATGTTTAAAGAAATGGAGATCATCGGTCAGTTTAACCTGGGCTTCATTATCACAAAACTCAAGTCAGACCTTTTCATGATTGACCAGCATGCCACAGATGAGAAGTACAACTTTGAGATGCTACAGCAGCACACCGTACTCCAAGGGCAGAAGCTCATTGTGTAAGAGTGTAAATCACTGAGTAAAACCGTGTTTGGAATGTTTCCAATGGCAATCCGAGTATGTTTTTATTTATTTCTTTTTTTCCGTTTGCAGCCCACAAAAACTTCACCTCACTGCAGTCAGTGAGAACGTACTCATAGAGAACATCAAGATTTTCAGGAACAATGGCTTTGAATTTCTGATTGATGAGGACGGTAATACAATTTACACCAGGGATTAAAAGTGATCTGATTATTTTGACAGTTACAAATATGAAGCTTATATTTGTTGTTTATTTTTTGGGGACTGCAGCTCAGGTGATGGAGAGAGTGAAGTTGGTCTCACTGCCCACCAGTAAAAACTGGACATTCGGTCCATCAGACATCGAAGAACTGATCTTCATGCTGAGCGACAGTCCAGGGGTTATGTGTCGACCATCCAGAGTCAGGCAGATGTTCGCCTCCAGAGCTTGTCGGAAATCTGTGAGTTTATATCACTGTGATGTTGTTTTTAAGTGCTCGCTCAAGTTTTGACTGGTTAGTCATAGACTGCAGCATTGACTGTATATAAAGGATGGATGTGGCCACTTATTGGTTTCTAAAGTCCACTTTTGAAGCCTCGATTTCTAGATTGTTTTGCCCATCGTGATATTACGTTTTTTTGGACTCAGAAATGATATTCATCTTTGAGGAAGCTTGATTTGGAAAGCTACATACATAAACTATATGGTATGATACACCCTGTTAGTAATGCTGGTAATTTGTAGTTATCTAAGATCTTTTAAAAATGTAATTATAGGGAAATTGCATAGCATATTATTTTGAAAATGCCTTTTGATACATTTTCTGCTCATCAGGTGATGATCGGCACTGCTCTGAGTGTTAATGAGATGAAGAAGCTCGTGGTTCACATGGGGGAGATCGAGCATCCATGGAACTGTCCTCACGGCAGGCCAACTATGAGGCACCTCGCTAACCTGGACGTCATCTCACAATACTGAGTCTGCAAAGGAAGAAACTGTTGGAGTAACTGATTTAAGATAACTCAAATGTGTCCTCACTCCAGATTACTTCTGTCAAACCACTCTTACGGTTTATTGTAGAGTTAAATGGTTTGTTATTGATTTAATGTCATGTTTAGTTGTGTTTAGATTTTAAAAATGTATATTACATATTATATTTTTTTATTTTAGCATACACTACACAGAACAATAAAAAAAGATGCTGGAAAAATATATGTATTCTGTCTCTGTTACTTTAAATCATTTATTTACAGGTTTGCATTGTGTTGTGTTGACTGAATGGGTCTGCTACCTGAGTGAGGTCAACCTAGATTCACAGCTGAGTGGTAAAATTACTGAGACCTTATTCTGGGTTTCAAGGTAAATGCAGAAAAGCAAACGATCTGTAATTATCGTCACTTTAGGACCACAAGATTTGGGATCCTTTTATCAGCCACTGGATTTGTAAACGTTATACACATCAGACTATCTGAATTTCCAGTAGCAAATGCCAATTTAAGATTAGCAGAAGTAATTTGATAATGGAAATAATGTATTTTCCTTTACTTTGAAATCCATAACGAGTGTTTAATGACACTTGAAAGTGTCCGACTGCTGTATCTGGAAAATATGTTTTATTATTTACTTATTTGCGCTCACAAAATGCCTTTTATTAATGTTATCGTAAATACTAGATCAGTTGCGCATTCAAAGCCCACCAGGTCATGGTGTGACCAAGGATTAGCCATGCAAACGCAAATGAAGGCTTTCTTTCAGGCTTCCGTAGTTGTAAGCGTCCGTTGCCATGGTTAAGTTCCTATTCCCAGCTTGTGCAGTACTTGAATGCGCTAAAAGAGGCTAAGCAAAATGTTTAATTGGGAAAAATAATAATAAAAAGGGAAAACGATAACAGTTGGGTATGACATCAAAAACGGAGGAGGGTAGACAATCTTAAAAGTCGATGACGATGAGCCAAATCAAGCTCCAGAATCATCCTGACAGGGACGAGCAGCCCGAGGACGATGGCAACTATGAGCTTCCCCCACTTGTTATCTTAACTGAACAGAGGTAAATTGTTACTCACGACATTAGTTATGTGAATAATTGTTTTTAGAGAACGTATAAGTTACTCAGGGTCGTGAGTAACCTGTGTACAATCAGAGCTGGATGTGAGGTTTGGTGTCTCTCTGACAGATATGAAGGGGAAACCTGTGAAGGGCAGCTTCATGGACAAGGTGTAGCTTATTTTGAAGGAGGCCATGTGTACAAGGTACAGCTTTACAAATGAATTTCAAATACAAATAATGACCTAATTTCATAAATCAATTAAGAATTTATTATATTATAATATATTTTGAAATGTGTTTATATCCTTCCAAAAAAAATGCATCAAACAAATAAAAAAATGTATGTTTGAATTGTATTTTTGTGAAGGGCATGTTTTCCAAAGGACTTATGGATGGATTCGGCATATTCACACAGGCAGCTGGACTAAAATATGAGGTAGCATACAGAAATTATGCATTAAATTAACTAACTGTACAGTATCCTTTCTTAAGCAGGGTTTTTGAAAAGTCAATGTATATGTAACATTTCTAAAAACAGCCATCCTTTATATACACACACATAAAAATACAGGTCAGTAAGGTGTAATGAAATATAATGTGGAGGCAAAGTCTTTGATAAAAGAATGCAGGCAAAATACTGAATTGAATTTATCTAATAGGGAGAGTTTGTACGCAATATTCCCATGGGCCAGGGCACTTATACATGGCCAGATGGCAGCACCTATAAGGGGGAGGTTTACAACGGTATACCACATGGGACAGGAACCTACAAATGTACCCAAAACAGCTTGTTTTACAGCGGGCAGTGGCATCAGGGCAAGAGACATGGAAAGGTATGATTTACCATTGATTTTGTCATTTTTTAGGAATTTGTTTGTCTCTTTTTAATTGGTCTCGTTTGTGCTAGGGTACGGCATATTATAACGAGGAAAAAAACTCTTGGTACAAAGGAGATTGGGTGAGGAACAACAGAGAAGGATGTGGACTGAGATGGTATGCATCAAGTGAATATATCTCCTCATCTGGTGTTGTATTTGAATTACCCTGCAATAACATCTGTTCCTGATAGCTACCCTTCTGGGAACACTTACTCTGGTGAGTGGAAGACCAACCAGAGGCATGGAAAAGGCACGATGCGGTGGCTGAATCTGGGACAGAAGTATGTTGGGGCATGGCAGGATGGAGTACAGGTATGAAAGAAAACCCTAATTTAATTATATATGAAGTTATAAAGCTTAAAAAAATGTAACTGTCTTGAATCAGATTTATGTTTTGGTTGCTCCTGCGGCAGCATGGCCAAGGTACACATGTCTGGAATTTAAGGCGAAAAGATGGATCCCAGTATTCCCAGAGCAATCGATACACAGGGGAGTTTGCTCAGGGTCAGAGGCATGGATGGGGAACCTTTTACTACGCTGGTGGTGCGATCTATGAAGGAGAATGGAAGAACAATAAAAAGCACGGGCAGGTGTGTTTCACTGTCAGCTGGAAAAAGTTTAGAGAAATCCACAGTATGCTTTCTTACTGATTTATTAAAAGTGCAGAATGAATCAACTCTGATTGTAAAATTCAGAAAAATGTCACCTTTGTCAGGGAAAATTCACACTGAGTGACGGGCATGCATTCGAGGGACACTTTGTGGATGACCAAATTATCACACCCAACCCGAGAGCACATAGTGCTCCTCTCGGTAAGGAGCAACAGTATTCAAGAGTATGTTCAAAATAGAAAAGGAGGAAATAAGCAATCCTGCAGTCTTGAAATCCTTCTGAAATTTGTCATAGGTGCGTTCCCGCTGTCACATAGCAACTCATCTTTACTGGGACCAGACATGGCTCTGAACATTGACTGTCTCCTGGACATGATCCCGGAAAGAAAACGTGACACAGAGCGCAAGCAGGTCAGTCCTCAGCCCAGCGTCCTCATTTACAGCCGTGTTCCCACCCTGAAACTGTGCATCATGTGTAACAGGTGGAGTTTGTGGTGCTGAGGCAAGAAAGAGAGCTGAGGTCAATTTGTAGTTTCTACAGCAGGCTTGGTTATGCCCGCTCCCCGGAGAACACCCTCCTGCTCTCCCGTCTTCAGTTCTGGCGCCTGCTCAAAGACTGTAACATTCATCACCACGGCATAACTCTGACACAGATAGACCGTCTTATCAGAGGTGAAAGGGACTGCTCCACAGCAGCACTGAATGATCCTCTGAGAGTATTTATAGGTTATTTTAACCGCTTTCACTCTGTGTGTTTCAGAGGATGTTGATCCAGCAGAGATACACTCGCCTTTCACGCCTGTGCTGCTTCGCAAGCTCATCAGCTATCTTGTCATTGTGGCCCACCACATCCACAGTAAAGACATGGTGTAAGGGAACCTGTTCCTACCTTTATCAGAAGATATCACAATGAAACTGCCTGGGGGTGTCCCCTGACGACAGCTGCAGGGATTGGGAAACTTAATAAAATCAGTTTGTTTATACTCAAGAAAACTTTGTTTAATCGGGATTAATCGTGATCAATTATCTGTAATAATTCCTTTTTTTCTCTATTTACAGGTCACCAAAGTACCTTCTGGCTGCCTGTTTTTCCAAACTGATGACAGATGACATTCTTCCAAATGCTAAGAATGTAAAAGGTGCTTACACATGCTACAGACCCAATTGTATGTGATTCATTTAAATTGTATTTCACTAGCTGGTGAACTTCAGAGACAATCCATTCATCAGCGGTACTGCTAGGTAACAGCAAACTACACTGTAATCAGAACTAAAAGAGCAAATCGGTGAAAGAAAAGTTCAGTTGCTACTAATGTTTTGGTTTAGTAGTTTCTTGGTTCCTCACTTGGGTTTCTTCACAGGTGTTGATACTCCTGTAGAAACCTGATGTTGTAGTGTTTAACACTCTTGCTTAATACAGTATGTAGTACTAACTGTTCATTAACAATAGCTGCGTCTGTCCAGGCTTTCTGTTTAGGCAGCCAGACGTTGGAGTGGCGGCTATGAACTATATGAAGAGGTGCTGGGAAGTCTTTCAGCTTTTCTGCACAGCCACCAGGGATGAACAGACCATGACCTGCCGTCACCTGCTGTGGATGTTCAAGGTGCAACAAACTGTAACACTTTTCTTTGCTGGTATAAATAGTACATTACATTTTTGCTGCCTGTTTCATCAGTGCAACCTAAAAGCTTCTCAGTATTAAATGATTACTGCTGCTCTAGTCCCTCTTTCCCTTCACTCCCAGCTGGTCACGGCAGGTGGCTCTTCCTCCTGGTTCTGCTGGAGGTTTCTTCCTTCCTGTTAAATGGGAATTTTTCCTTCCCACTTTAACCAAGTGCTTGTTGTTAGGCGTTATCTGATTGTTTGGGTTAACCCTGTATTATTGCAACGCCTTTCCCTTATATTATAAAGCACACAGAAGCAACTGTTGTTGTAATTTGGCACTATATAAAAAAAACTGAATGAAAGTTTTATGTCCCAGATTTGACATTAATACAATACTTTAAAAAAATTTAAGTGGATTTATGGTCAAACAAATCTGATTTAAATGTCTTTATCAACAACAACAGCAGATAGGATGAATGGCATGCCTATTTATCACAAAAACAATTAATCACAGTTAAAACCTCCGGTTATAACCACTTGCAGGATCTCCATTTGTTGGACCATAAGCTGACCACAAGGAGGTTATTGGAGATCATCAATACAGAAAGCCACAACCCCGACAACCTTTCGGCCAGTGTTGATCTGGAGGTCTGTTTACATCAGTAAACTCATTCAGCTGTTTTTTGGTGCAATATTCCTCTTTTTGAATCATGAGAGCTGCTGTTCTGTTCTTTCCATTGCAGATTACGTTCCTCGAGTTTTTTGAGGTGCTTCTGGGCTGCGCAGAAGTTTCATGTGAGCAGGTTTCTGAAACACTGAAGGAGGACCATCGGGTTTCTGGGTCCAACACTGAAACCAGGAAGGATTCGCCTGAGGTGGAGGTCAGTGAAGAGATGATACAGACAAAAAACAGCCCCTTCCAGTTGGTCAGATCCTGTCTCAACGCTTTCATAATCTCTGTATCTGCTAACCTTGTAATGTCATGTCACATGTAAAATATTTAGTTGTTCAAACATATTAAGGACCAAACATATTTTTACAAGCTGTGACATAATTAGATATTTTAAAATTAAGGAGCTCCTGTATTTTTTCACTATTCATTTACTTTCAGTGCTACTCATTTTTTCTTCTGGCAGTTTTACTAGCCGATACAGGCCAGTATTGGTTGACAAAACAACCAACACTATATGCACAAAAAGATGACTGGGGCTGCATCTGGAATATGCCACAAAACTGGCAGTAACTTTGCTAAAATCTTTAATAAGATGAAATCCCATCTTTATTGCAGACTGGGATTTCCAGTGCTCAGGATGGAAGTCAGTGGGATGTCAAGACGGAAGCCAACGAGATACCCGAGCCTGCAGGTTTGGTTTATCATTTCAGTGTATGCATGCCTGTGTGTGTATATATGTGCATAGATAGGACTTCAGTCCTTCTAGAAGCAGGTCTTATCTTGCCTGGGCAGTTTTTTTTTTTGGAAGAACTTAAACCAATAACCTTTCATTTCAGTGGTGACTGGGATGTAAACCAAGTCCATGACTTTGCCTTGAAAATGCTTAAATGGTTTGCAGACTGACCACCTAAAAAGGCTTAAATTTGTTTCCCTTGATGTCATCCTTCTGTCATCATTACAGATTCAAAATTTCCTAGACCCAAAGTTTTACATGAGAATGGTTCAGAAAATGAAGGGACATTTATTGTATTCAATGTAAGCTAGACATGCCCAGTAAATACACACTTCACAAATCACATGATATTTAGAACTGGTTTGTACTTTCAAATTCTCAGAATGATTGTGTCAGAACAAAAATGCCTAACATGTTTATTTCCTTTAGAGCACACAGACGACCCTGGAGGTGAAATCATGTGCAGACCAGCAGAAAACACTAAAGACCGCAAATTGGAACTTAAGATGAAGACTGTCGATGAATTCTTCAACCACTTTTTCTTCCCAGCATCTGACTATTACCAGCTAGTGACAAGAAACAGAATGGAAGAAAAGCACCACCCAGAATCTCAGAGACAGATTGCTCTAGATAAGATGAAACAAAAGCCAAATAATGCTGTCAAAACAACATGCAGCTAACATGTCCTTAGTTTTGTTGGTTCAGTTTAGAGCATTATGAAGTGAAAATATTAATACAATGACCTCACACACGTTGTACTCCATTATTAAGGAGACATGCAAGTAAAGGGCTGGTTTCATGAAAAAGCTTCGAATTTTCCAAGTTGCCACTTTGCAACAAAGATTTTGTGACTGCATCTCTTCTCAGATGAAATGCCTCCCCCCCCCAGAAAATTGATGAATACAAGATGAAACAAACTGTTCTGTTTGTGTATCCTGTTTTAACAAATAAAAGCAGTCAGTAATAACAGCATTGAGCATTTTGTTCATTTGTGATTGGATATAGATACAGAGTTCTTTATTGGTTGTAACCAAAACTTTAATTAGAACTTTGTGTGAGAAAACTTTTCTACTCATCTAAGAACGTCAAAAATATTTTTTTAATATAAAAAACTGTGTAAAAAGTTGCTAAAACAAGTTTTAAAAAAACAAAACAAAAAAAACACTTCTCTTTACTTTCTTCAGTCTCTTTACTAAATGTTAGGAGGGGTGAAGACCATGAGGTCACTTGGACAGACTGACTGGCGTATCTTGTCCTTCGGGTCTGGGGTGAAGAGAAGCAAGGCAGACTTTGCTGTCTGTACCTAAAGAATAAAGGGGAAAAAAAAAATCAAAAGAAAAATCACAAAGACAATTTTGGACAAAACGTTAGGCAATATATATACTTAAACACTCCATAAAACCCTAGGTGTTTAGAAGAAAAGTGGAAAAACTTTGACCTGTCGTGAGTGAGGAGTTAACACCGAAGACACCGCTGGCAGTGCTGTCGTGACAGAAGTGAGCAAAAGAATGAATAAAACGGTGAAAGTGTGTAGTTTTTAAAATGTGGTGACCAAAAAAAAACAAAAACCCCAACACTTCAACATAAAAATCTCTCTCATCATCTCTCATTAGTTAGTGTTGCCAAGTTATAAAACATTAGTCTTACCAGACTCTTTCTCAGTAAGAAAGTTCATAGGTTGTCTTCTAGGACTCTCCATTGCTACATCCACTGCCATGGGTGACAGCGTCTCTGTCGCAACTGTGTCCCTTGGTGACAGGCTGCATCTGTCTGAGGACTGGAGGTATCTCTCAAAATCCAGTCCAGAAATTTCCTAAAATTACAAGAGAATAATATATTCATTACATGGCTAAAAAACACCCCCCCCCAAAAAAAACAAAAAAAGTTCTGAGGCACAACACAGAATTGGGGGGGAAATTTATTTTACCTCAACAACTGTGCTGTCTGGTGTGTGACACAGAGTCTCCACGAGGCCCTGCACAGCAGATGAAGAGACGGAAGGTTGGCTAGGAGTTGCACAGGGCGACAGTGTAAAGCTCGGGGCTGATGAGGGCTCAGGAGCTGGGGGCACGGTAGGTTGTTTGCACGGAGAGCCTGGAACTGCTGGACTGACAGGGTTATCAACAGTTAGATCCTCGGCTGGCTCGAGGATTGCTGGAAGGAGTTGTGGAACAGAGGGAATGTCTGTGGAGACTTTTTCTGACACTTGTGCAGGGCATCCGTCAGGTTGGGTGTCATCTGAAATCACTTCCTTGACAGGTGAGAAATCCATAGAGATGTTCACAATGTCCCTTCTGCTCTGGGTCGCCTGAGGAGTGCCGCACTGAGACTTTGGTTCTGGGGTTTGTCTGACAGTGAGGCGGAGGTGTGCATGTGTGTGAACATGTTGAACAGGTGTCTGAGCCAACGCAAGGGAGCGCCGGGTGACCCTTCTAGGTGAGAGATATGTGGAGCAGGGAGAGACCCCAGGCAGCACAGCAGCATTTAAATGGCTGGATCTCCTAACTGAACAAAGAAAAAAAAACCCCAACATGTGCAATATGATTAGACCAAATCCAGAGTCATCCAAAGTCCAAACTTTTGGCATGCAAGTCACCTGATTGTTTAGCTGGGCTCTCCACCTGGAAGAAGCCTCCATCAAAGACCACTGTGTCCTGCTTTTGAGCCCCTGCCTGTGGGTGTGGATTCTGAGAGCCCAAGACGAGACAGTCTTCAGTGTTAGCAGCACTGGCTGCCTTCTCTGCCTCAGCTGCCTGCTTTTTGGCTTTCATGGCTGCTTTTGCGGCAGCCAGACGAGCCTTAGCTGCTGCATTAGTTCCTGCAGGCTTGGCAGGTGCTGCTGGCTGTTTCTGTTAAAAAGACGGGACAAGCTGTTTTCTTAAAACACAGAGGCCTTCATATGCAAATGACTACAGAAACAACAACCATAAAACTCAATGATTAGTTGGGTGATGTGTTAATATAGTCAGTTTTATGATGGCACAGCTGTGTGTTTTTGAACCAAAGCTTAAATTAGGAATCTTTACCTTCACTACTTTCTTCTGTCGTGGTGGAGGCTTGTGCTCCTCCACCCAGCCTCGCTCCTCTGCTTCTTTCAGAGCGTCAAACTTCTTGTTGACATCCTCGACCTAGAATGGGGAAAGAGTGCAAAACAGATGTTAGGCCTCTTCTCCTTGTTTGCGTGTTAATGTGTGTGTTGCACCTCTCTTGAGGCATCACCTGGTAATAAACCATGTCCCAGAACCCCTGCAGGTCAGTGCAGGTGGTGAGCTTCTCCCCTCGGCCTAGCTCACAGTCGTCCACCAGACCGCTGAATTGGTTGAAGCGTTCTTTCATCAACAGCCGTGCTTGGCCAACAGCTGTGCGCATGCGATCTCTCACTGAACACGATGAGAAAAAAAGATAACAAAATTACTATTAGTCAGAGAAATCCACCATTTTCCTCATATGAAAACAACAACTATCTACAGAACCAAAATTAAATATTCAAGATTTTAATAATCAATTGGTGTAGAAGATAAACTCACTTTCTTCTGGGATGGACTCATCCTCCACTTTAGACTCCCAGTGGAGAGACAAGCCCGTCAGTCTCTCTGTCTCATTGGCCATTTCTGATCTGAAGAATTTAAAAGAAAATGTTTAAAAAAAAAAGAAAAAAGAAAAAAAAAAGGTTCTTTTTTGAAAGACTAACCGATATGAAAAGTACCTGAAATATGGTACGTCGTGCTTTGTTTCCACTGATCCACCTGGACTTGGAGGGGCAACTGTGGGAGAGGTATGAGGAGGAGAGCGCAGAGGAGATTTAGGTGGACACGATTTGCTCTGCTCATCACTGAATACGGGGGCTGGTGGAAGGTTGAAGCTGGAGCTGGATGGAAAGAACAGCACTGCTTTTAGATTGACTGAAATTTTAAAGCCTACATATTTTCTTTAAAAAAGGGCCCAAAAAAGAAAAATCTGCAACATCATAACAAACAGAAATATCAGTGCTAAAATATAACATTGCTTCCTCCTGTGATATAGATCAATACTCTGGTATAGTATTTCTATTATTAAACTTGCAGACACCCTAAACAGAATTCTATAATATACTACTGCCTGACTCGTCACAGTAATGCTGAGTAACAACAGCAGTAAAGGCATCTATTAATTGGTGTTTTGCAATACTGTGGCCAACATCAGTGTTTCAGTACATATTTAGCAAAAGGAAAATTTGAGCAGATGAAATGGAAAAAAGAAGCAGACCTTGGTGTAAGGAAGGAGTCTGCTGAACGAGGTGTGAGAGGCTCAAACTTGAAGGATGACAAGCCAGTCGGAGCCTGGAAGAGAAAATCTTCTGGAGCAAATGAGGATGTAGATGGGACGAGATCAGCAGAAACAGGCTTGGCTGGAGATTGATCCACCACCATGTCTTCTTCCTCAGCACATGGTGTCGGGCTGGGAGGACTAGGTCTTTTCTCAATGTCCTGCATCTCAGGCTCTGTCAGCTCAGGTTCCTGCACACGACAGGAGCAGCAAAGCAATTAAACTCCAAGTTACTTAAAAATTGATCACAAGTTTAGTTTGTCGTGTGTTTCACTGAACTGCTCACCTCTGAGATAGCATGATGGACAGTGTCATTGACTGCTTCTGTGTTTCATAAAGAAGGACAACAAAAATGGTGAGAGAAATTCCAACAACTGTTCACAATGTAAAGTGAGGCAGACACATTTGGAACAAATTTTGTTTTGGTTTTTTGGTTCATGATACCTTTACAGTTCCTTTGTGCACCAGACAGGGGAGCCACAGGATTAAGATTTGCTCGGCTCCTTGTGGTTCTTGTATTGGACACTGGTGAGAGACATTAAACACAAACAAATATCCATTTATGTTTTAAACCTCAACGCCATTTCTTAACTTCCCTCCCCAGTTTCGATATTAAATGAGCTTCCAAACCAGACAATACCTGCAGTCTTGTCCTTAGGTTTGCCCTTTACCACAGGAACTGGAGGTCTGTTGGCAGATCTGGTTGACAAAGCTCGTACGGCAGGTGCTTCTATGGTAGAATGGGATAATACAGACACAAATTAAGAGCTAAACACAGGAATG